TGGTCCATTCCCATACGGCGGCGGTTGCTGCCCGGACATCTTCGCGGCAGACGGGTCAGACGATCGAGATCTTTGGGTTTGGTTTTATTTCGAGTTTACTTTCGGGGTGGCTATTGATTCACAAAGACTTTTGGACGGGGTTGTGGGGTTTAATTTAACATATTACACTGGTGAAGGAATAATTAAAAAATATTTTAAGTTAAGGAGTATATTGAATTTTAAGTTTTTTAAATGGTTTATAATATGTCCCTTTTTTTTCCACCCACAGAACTTGATTTATTTTTGGGAACTTAAATCCATAAGGAACTATTAGTTAAAAAGGCAGGAAATAATGAAATATATTAAAAATCAAAATATAAAACCCTGAACTATTTAACAAATATATGTATGTATATATATTTACATTTAAACGTAGAATTTCTTGGCATGCCCCAAAACCATAAAAATCTGTGCAAAATCATAAATCATCATTTGTTCATTAGCCAAAACAATCACCTGAACATCCAACCCAATTATGTCAAGTGGCCAAAAAATAATCATAATAATAGGCTACATAAACATAAATAAATCATGACCTATTCTCGAAAGCAGGTAGCCAACTAATTTCACCAGACTACGCACATAATATCCGCATATATGTATAGGAAAGATATAGATTCTAGCGGAAGTGCTCGGGGCATTTATACAATCTTTAAAAATGGGACTGACGTGAGTGTGCGGCTTTCAAGTCTCCGAAGAGTGCTTTTTGGCGCACAAACATTTATTTCAGCTAGTTGTCACATATATTAGTGAAATATATGTGCTCCTGGCAGATAAATTACAATTCATGAATTCATATCAACATTATGCTGCAGATCGAAAGAGGCACCAAGGAGAAAAGTGGGCAGTTGGGGATTAGCCACTGTCAAAATTGTTTGAAGGCCTCAAAAGTCTATGATATATTCCTCGCAGAGTGTGTGCGGGAACCTTGGAAACGTCTAAAAAATCATTGATTTCATATTGGACGCTGCGTGAAAGTGAAATTAGCTGAATTTCGAAAACATTATGTACAGAAAGGAAAATTTAAATAATTGCTTTTCAAGTGAATTGTGTTGAGCAAATAAATTCATTTGGATGGTAAATAAATTGAACTTGACAAAATAAACAGACATTGAAATGTCAGAATAAAAAGTGTTCTAAATAAAAAAGGAAAAGCTCTCTTAAATAAATACCGAATGATTTATAAAAAAAACTAAACAGAGATTTTTCAATGTCAAAAATTATACTTATTTACACTGCTAATTGGTGATTACCAAAATAGTCCAATGTATTTATATTACATATTTACATTTCAAATGTTATAAAAAAAATTTTGGAAAAATAATATAGTTTTGCATTTTTATAATATAGTATTTTAAGTTTACACCTGATACATATTGAATATTTAATATTTATAAAAATAATTTAAAAGTGAAAAGAGTTTTTCAAAACAAAAGCAACGATTACTCATATCCTGCCCCCACGGCTTTTATATCTTCTAGAATTCTTCCAGAATTTTGCACAGTTCTGTAGCCAAAAAATGTTCGTCATCTGCTTTCAATATTTCAGTTCCTTTATGGATTCTCCAAAAAAAAACCAAAAACTGCACAGTGTAGGCGGTACGGTGGTGTAGTTGTGTATATTGGTGGATCGGTCCACCATCGGCACCACTTAAAAAGCACACGTCCCCCAATCCCAATCGCACCACCGCGACGAGGAAAACTCATGCAGACTTTTCAGACTTTTCACTTTGCGGCGGCGGTTGTCGGTTGTTGGTTGCTTTCGAATTATTCAAAAATAGAAATGAACTCAGTTCGTTAAACTTTCGGTTCGGTTCGGTCGGAGGAAACCATGCCGAGAGCAAAAAGATGCAGCCTCGCATGCTTCACTTTATTCTGGTATGGGACCACTTTTAATTGCCATCCGCTTTATGGGATATATCCCTCTTTGATATCCATTCCATCGATTATGGACCACAATTCTATATGCTTTCCGTTAATTTTTCTCGCACCGGAAAACGTGGAAAAACACGTTTTTCTTCTCTTCCAAAAAGCACTTCACTGCCGATTATGTAATCCTTGGAAAATTGGGCATTTCTTTGAGCTTTTTCAATGGGATCTTAATAGCACACATGGTATACGCCAATTAATTTGTAACATTACACACCGTAAATTCGCTTTGATTTTACACCAGAATTCTTTGCGCGAACAATTCCAATTTCAATTTCTATATATGCGTATATATAGAGGCGTGTATATATGCATGGATGGCAGGAAAGAAGACTTTTCAATGAAGAACTTTAGATGTTGTAGAGGAAGAACCGAGAACAACACTCGACGAGCACGAAACACTAACTGAATGGGCACCCCAAGCGCCAGGAGGCAAAACACCGATCTTTGGGGGAAAATTTCGAAAATTTTCGAATCGGTGAAAGAGATGATGGTTCGGGAAATGCGCTCGAAGAATCCGCTCTCGGTATTATCTGCCGGCTTTTATTTTTGTGGCGCTTTCTACAACGGAAAATAGTGCTCTTTCTTCGGTCTTTGTTTACATCCCTTGGTTCTAAACAATATTTTATTGAGCAGAGAACATGCGAAAAACTTTGGCATGCAATATGTACAGAATGTGTACAATGAATCATACGAATCTCATTCAACTAGAATCATATAAGATATATTATAAAATCATATTTAAAATATCTTTATAGTTAATCTCCAATATACTCAGTGAGTATTACTCACCCAATTCATTGTTGACTTATTTATTTGTGAGCTTTGATCTCCAAGTATAATAGGGAAAAGCCCAGAAAATCATCGTTTAAAGATTTCTTCTGGATGGTTCCTGAATTTTTCAGAAACTTCCGTAGAATAATTGTACAAAAGTCTAGATGATCCCTCCAGCAAATATAGTTTTCTCGAAGTTAAAGATGTAAGTAATGTCAAGAAATTTTTAAATATTACTATATTACTATTCTTTTTTAAGTATATAACGACTTACCAAAAAGGATAAATATCTTTTTTCTATATACATTACAGTACAGTGTACTTACATATCTACAGAATTATGTAGATTATTACATACATACATGAACTGGTGCTTTCTTCTATGAAAACTTGGTCTTTCAAGGACTCCTCCAAGTATAGACAAATCTTTGTTGTCTAGATAATATCACAATTCATTCTGCTAAATTACGATAACCAATATGTAATTATCTTTTATGAATTACAATAGTTTGTAACAAAAAGCCACCGGCGTCTCTTCACTTGCTGCCTTCCTTGAAGACTTTGCACCCAAAGGCTTCTCCAAGTATTGGCAATTCTTTTCCTGGTAGATAATATATAAGCCAATATTTTTAATTTTTTACTAATTATATTAGTTTGGAGCAGAAAGCGTAACTTCACTTGTAAACAGTGTGGTGAAATAAAGGAAAACATCAGTGTTAAACAACGTTAAAAAAGGACTGCCTACTAGTAGCATATTTACTGAAGTTTAGAAACGAAAATATATATTATTTTTTTGTTATGATATAATAAATCAGAAATCTATTAATGGAACTTAGTCGAATTTATGATAATAACAACAAATTTATAGATTATGTCAGGGATGGGAAAGTTTCAAAGTTTGAAAAAAGACAGTGTTGATCAACATACTAAATGTCAACTAACATCTGCGCTGTTAACGCGCTGTTAGGCCAGCTGACAAACACAGGGTGATTCCTGTCACAATACATTGTGCGAACAAATTTGTGGTAAAAAAATGGCCAGCAAGCAATTGGTAAACAAATTGGCCAAACTCGGCCGTCCCTGCCAGAATTGGATGTCTCCATTGGCCGCCGTCCGCCAGACCAGCAGTCGCAGCGACATCGAGAAGGTCACACACACCGGACAAGTAAGAATACTGGCGATTTCTCAAACCGAAACCCAACCATCCTGCGATTACGCAAACATTGTGTGGAATATATATAAAGATATATAGTAAACCGATGTCAATTTCAGGTGTTCGATAAGGACGACTACCGCAATGCCCGATTCGTGAATGCCAAGCGGTATGTGAACGAGAACTGGGGCATCCAGCTCATCGAGGAGGTGCCGCCCAAGGAGTGCACCGAGCGCGTTGTCTTCTGCGACGGAGGAGATGGTCCCCTTGGTCATCCCAAGGTGTACATCAACCTGGTAAGATCCATAACTTACTATCATATCAGTACCCCTCATTGTATCATGTCTTATATCCAGGACAAACCCGGCAATCACATCTGCGGCTACTGCGGCCTGCGCTTCGTCAAGAAAGACGACCATCATCATTGAGGATTCGGAATCCATGATGGCCCATAGCCAATAGCTTGCTAAGCATCTTGAAAACCTGTCTATCCTGTTGCTCTAGTTTAAACCCAACTAAACTGAATAAAACTATCAAACAAAAGGGCTATTCACATGGATAATGCATTCAGTAAGGAAGTATATCATCATTTAAAGGAGATATTTATTACTTATTAAAATCAATTCTCACTATATTTTTTCAAGCTTTGTTAAGTGAGTATTTCTAGAAATCCAGGCTGAACTCAGCAATATCCATTTCAATGTTCATTATCAAATTCTTTCCGTTTACAAAACCAACTTTCCTTTTCCCCAATATCAAAGACAAAACTCTATATTGCACAACACTTTATTTGCATGTTTCTTGAATGATAACTAATGCGTGTATGCATTGTGTCCTCTTTAAAAGTTAGTTCTGATCAAAATCAACTTAGGCATTAAAGATTAGTAAAACTAATAAACAAAAAACCGAATTATAATTCAAAATACTGTGAGTTGAACTCGACTGCTTGGGCAGAAACCAGATCAAATCACCACGCGGGTGTGTTTAAGCATATAAAACGTAGAGTGTATAACTAAGCAAATTAACGCAATTGTAGATAGATAGTATATAAACTTGATTTGTTTGCCTGGTAAGCGGTAATGTATTGTATAGTGGCTTCCTTTTTCTTTTTTTCGCGCTGTTAAATCACTACGGGCACTTTAGATGCTGACGATCGCAGCATTGAGACACAGATAGTAACACGAAGAATCAATACAATAATACAATAACTGCCGCCGTTTCGGCGATCATTTGTTGGTTGGTTGTTCCGTTCGTTTTGGATGCCAGCGCTCTAGGGGATTGTGACCCCATCCATCCATCCAATCCGGCTGGCCTGCTCCTTGCTGCTCGCAAAACTGAAAATCACACGTTCGCACCGCTCAACACGAGCCATCATCTCCGGCAGCCAAAACTCCATCTCCATCGAATCGGAGGAGTCCGAACCTTGGCCTGCAGAGAGGAGCCCTGGATCTGGGAACTGAAAGAGTGCGGCGCCGCCGGGTGGTGCGCCTGTCTCACATAATATATATGCCCAGCTGATCTCGCGCGATCGCTGGTCAATAAAATCATGGTCAATAATCGTCGTCGTCATCTGTTGTCTCAAGTGCGTTTCATCTAAAACACCAAACACTAAGGAGAATGTAAACTAAAATGTAGTAGGTTCTAATTTGGATGTTGTGTGGATGCGGGACTATGTTGCCGACGAATCGCTTTAGCCTATCATCATACTGTTGCTGGTGTTTCTGTTGCTGCAGCAGAGATCGCTTGTCTTGATTGGGGCAATAGTTGTTCACCACTGGTCACCAGAGGTTCCGTGGCATGGCGTAGCCTTCTTTTGTCACGAATATGTTGCGTTCGCCACGGGCCACCGCCATCTCCTTCTGCTGCAGCTGCAGCTGCTGCTGCCTCTGCTGCAGCTGTTGCTTTCCACCCATTCCGAGGGAAGGATCCCCGCCATCGTGGGTGACAGTGGTCTCCTTGCGACCGTCTATCATCCTGGTTATGGTGGTGGTCTTGTGACCGGACGAGTCCTGGGTCACCTTGGTGGTCTCATAGGTGCCATCCGGCTTGCGCACCGTCTTGGTCATAACGCTCTGGCTGAACAGCTTGGGACCCTGTCGAAGATCACACCAAATTAAAGGGTTTTTCATGAGAAGGACCTTGATCTCCCTCACCTGATAGTTGCCATCGAATACCCCACCGAAGGGAGACATTCCACTGCGCGGCAACATCGGGGTCATGGGCGTCATGATGTCCGGCTTGTTGTTCATCGGCGGACGTGGCGGACGAGCATCCGACTGGTTCTCGCCATCGGCTATGGTTCCATGGATCCGGCCCATGATGATCTCCTCGTCCGTGAGCTTGGCTCTCTGATAGCCCTTGCGATAGCCATGCTGATTGGATGGCAAGATATGGCCTATCTCCTGGTCGCCTAGCTCAATCTTCTCCTCGGGATTCAACCGCTGGATGAGCGAGTGCAACTGATCGGCATAGATTCTGGCAATATTAAATGGTTAAATCTGCTTTGGTTTGAAAATATAGGGATTACTTACTCGCCATCCAGATCGGTATCCAGGGATAGGTCCTTCTGCTGCTCAAACTTCTTCAGAATCTTGCTCTCGAAGCCCGGCTTTAGGAAGTCCTCTTTCAAGTCACGCTCAAAGCCTTCTGTATATAAAATATGTAAATCAATAATATTAATAGCAAGATAGGAAACAAGAAATTATCCATTAAAACTATCGAGTTCCAGAAGTTAATATTGCTGACCTTTGGCTATAATAGTACCATTTACAGAACTACGTCGTTCCAATTACCTATGGATTAAGTGTCACTTGGATAATGACATATCAAACAACCAATTACGTTGTTGCAAATCGATTTTCTTTGGCTGAATATGTAAGCTATCTCTTTAGAACAAACCAAAGTTTTGTTTTCTATCTTTAAATATTTTATATATGAGTATTTGGAAATAGATGTACTATTATTTGCAAGGTTTCTGACAAAGAATAATCCAATATCTCGACAAAATTATAAAATTTTTCTGTAAACATTTAATCTATGTGTATACGAAATGGATGTAATAACATGTGCTAGACCTTTTTATTTAAATAGGTTATTATTATAAATCAATATCTGAAAAAATGGATAAGGTTTCTAGATACAAGATACTAAAAACACCTACTTAAAAACATGTTTTTAAGGTGTTACTGTGATTCTCAAGTCTTATATCTCAACATGTAATGGGTTATAATCCCTGAGATAACACCACATACCATCACTATCGTTCAGGGACTCCAGCAGCCTCTGCAGCTGGCTCTCGAAGTGCTTCTGCATCTCCAGCGGACTGGTGAAGACCTGGAAGGCGAACTTGCGATCGTCGTCGAACAGTTCGTCATCGGTCTCGGCCTCCTCGAACCACTGGGGCTTCCGGAACTCGTCCTTATTGGAAGCGGAAATCGAAGAGCTGTCAGAAGAGAGGAAGAGAGTGTTGGAAAAGTTAGGATGAGGGATGGATGAGAAGGAATTCGGATTTCCAACCCCCGGGTGCTCCATTACGCAGCCTCCGCTTTTCTCACAGGGAGAGAGGCCGAGAAGCAGGCGCTTTTCCGCGTGCGTGTGTATATCCTGGTGAAAATGTATCTATCATGGCAGGTGCCTGGTTATCGATCCATTGTCGCCTGCGAAAACGCCGCTGCCGTATTCCCAGCCCCCCTAATATTTATAGACTTTTGCGGCCGCTGCACTTTTCGGCGGCCACCCAAAACTTGCATAATGCCCACAGTTCCGTAGTTCCAACCATCTAGTACTCACTCCGGCTCCTTTTCCGCCTCGGTCTTGAACATTTTCCTCAGAATATCCATAATCCCCTGCTGATAATCACTTGGGCCACGAATGGAAATCGAAAATGAAATGCCTGACAGAGCGCAAAGCAAAGTGGTTTAAGGAAAACTAAAAGAACCAAAACGACGCGAGTTTCGACTAATCCTGGGCTGCCCTTTTCCGCACTCCAATTAATTGTTTATCCCGGGGTTTTTGCACTTTTTTAAATTTTTAAATAAAAAAGATTTTTCACACGACTGATAAACAGCTGACAACTGACAGAGGTGAATTCGTGACACGGGATCTCAACAGCGATGTTAGGTGGCCCGCTGTTAATGTTATCGCTGCAAACTTTTCTGTTAAACGCACACCACCCTGTTTGATTTTGAAAAGACCGTTACATTGGCTAACTATGTAAATCAATTAATTTAAATTTTCTAATCGAATTTTATGAGTAATTTGTCAACTAAAACCTGATTCTTCTTTATAAATTAGTGAATTTTATGTGTTTACTTTATGTTCTATGTAAAAGTTATTTAAACAAACAATTTGGAAACATTTTTAAAATTCTAAATAAAACAAAAGTATTTTTTGTTATATCTTCCCCCTTTTTCGAAAAGAAACTAACTTCATTTTTACAAACAAAATAATAAAGTATTACATGGGGGCTAAGCAAATTGTTTGGTTTAATATTCGAAATAGTAAGATATAAATAAATGTTAGCTCTAAAAATAAATGTAAATTCAAGAAAAAGTATTATGTAAAATGATTATGGAAACATGATGTGGATTCTGTATCTTTTCTCTCTGTATCTCAGTAAATCAATAAAACCTCTAAGTGTAGTTATTCTTCATTGAAAATTTTAATCTTATTCTATTATTATTTTAGAAAATATTCTAAAGTTTCCATTCAAGTTCAGCTGATAAGCTCAACCCTTATTCGCTGTATTTTATCAAGTAAACTGACCCACTATTCCACACTCCCAATAATATTATGAAAAGCAACAAATTGCAGGCCAAACAGCGTTGTTTATTGCCTTGTTATTTATAGACTTTTATGACATATTTTTCAATAATAGTTTTTCTGCCTTCTCATGCCTAGTTCTGTGAATCAAACTTCATTTTAAATTCAGCTTAAGGCCTTGCACTTCCTGCTCTTGGCTTCGCATACTGAACTTATCTACTTGGCCGCTTATCAACCAGTTATTATGGTGACTGTCTTCTTTGTTGCTGTTTTATTTCGACCACGAATCGAGAGATAAGTGAGATAGCAAACGTTAAGAATTGGCACGCACCGCAGGCCACAATAAAAAACAAAAAGCAGATGAAACCGTATGTAAATATAAACAGACATTGAAGTTTTATGGTGGGAAGTGTCTGAGCCCTCCGTGCTGATGAAATGTCAGTTGGCAGCGACCACGAGACCCTAGTGCCTATCAGCGCTTATCACAATTGCAGTCCATATAACCATGACCGATAATAAACCGCCGTCGCGATAAACAAAAGGCTTTGTTATTATATATTCTTGTTTTTAATTATTAAAAGTTTTAGCGGTTATATGGGTGAGGTGACCACAAAAGCACTTGCATTAAGATTAAATTTATACAATTATGAATCTCATATCGTAGATCGAGGTATGGGATTGGGTTGCGGGTGTATAGTGGATCATAACAATAATTTCGAACTCAACAAGGACCCCCAATGGCTGGTGATCATAATCTTCGGACGAGGGCTTTGTTTGTCTGTCAACAGGGGATAACAATGGACGACGACGACGACGACGCAGTGGCCCATGGACTAGCTGGGCGCGGCCGGTTCGAACTTGCAGATGACGGCGAACATGGCCTCGCCGCCCAGGTACTTGGCCAGCCATGTGTTCTTAATCACGGCAAGCTTGAGGGTCTCGCAGGCAAAGCGGGCATTCAGGTTCGTGTGTAGGGCTCGTCCCATGCCCTCGATAACAAGCAGATCAGTCTCATTGGCAGCGATGGCGTCGCACAGTTCCTGCGGCAAAGTCCGCATATCCAAGCAGGGACCAGTCTGTCCATTTGCGTAGACCAGTAGTTGTCCCTGCGACCAGGCCTTCTCCAGCACCTCACATTCCCGCGAGCATTCATCTAAAAGGGATTTCAGCTCCTCACTGGTCACATCATTAAGAGCGGGTTCACTGTTCGCGCAGAGCAGCACCTTGGTGCCTCGTTTCAATAGTCCGCGCACAAAGGGCAGCACGCCCAGCACCACATCCACACCACTGTTGTCCACAAAGACCACGGCGCACTTGTGGGGCTCTCCCTTGAGCCGACTCAGCCAGCTGTCCAGGTTGTCCAGCAGCCATGGCCGCTTCTCGATGCGCTCCAAGGCCGAGTGTAGGCCGAAATTGCTGTCCTGCTCGAGGATATTGGATATGGCCTGGGCGCCCCAGTCGAACATGTTGCCTGCTAGGACCCCACGCACCAGCTCTGTCCACCGGGCGTCCTCGTCCTCCAGGGCATCGAGCTCCTGCAGACGCTGCTTTAGACGTGCCACCGCAGAGGCGTTCTCCAGTTTCTTTTGTCTCAGCCAGGGATCGGCGAATCCAAAGCGTCGCAACATGTTTTCGTTCAGCTGGAGGAGCTCACTGGTGCCAAGGATCACCTTGCCCTTGTTGATCGGCACATTGCGCTGATGCTCGTCCAGCTGCTGTAGATAGGCCGCCTGGAACTGCTCCGCCCTCTGGGGGGCCGTGTGATCCTCCGCCTGCGAATTGGCCGCCACCTTGGCGAACTTGGCGACCATGTCCCTGAAGCACCGGAACCAGTAGTCGGCAGCCTTTCCGTCTGTGTTGAGGTCCAGGGTGTCCGGCTGATAGACAGCCGGGTCCGGCAGCAAACTGCGGCTGTGCATGGCGACGCGGGAAGACGCGAGGCGAGTGACTTTTGGCGCAGAATTAGAATTAGTCGCCGTTTTTGTAATTAACAAAAAAAAATTTGGGGCTGCAGGTGTGACCATTTCAAAATTTAGTTTGCCGTTTTTGTATCGTAGTGTCAGTTAACGTAAGCAAACGTAAGAGCCACTAAGGAGGGAGACAAAAAACTACGAAGAAGAAGAGCTTATATGAAAGCAACTAGGGATGGACCAAAAGTTAACGGACTTAGCCGTTGGTATATTTATAATTGAGCCAATTAATACCAAAAATATACCACAAAACGGCCAAACGCTGAGTGTCCTCGCTAGCTTATAGCTCTGCACACAGCCGTTTAAAATCACGAAGCCAACAGCTTACAACCACCTATTTCGTCAGTTTTTGTATTGCATGCCCGAGATGAAAGAAATCGCAAATCGATACTATCTATGTTAGTCATTCAAAAAATACCAATACTGAACTAGCGCAATTACAGCCATAAATACAATTTGAATGGCTCAGTAACTTACATATTACGATGTTTTAAAAGTAATCGACTTGGAACTAAGTCGTTTCCTTTGCTGAAGTTGACAAGGCAAATGTACTTATATGTAAAAAAAAAAAAATAACTAATTTATAACTTATGTTATGTTATGCTGTGATCAAAAATCGAAGCACGGGCGAAAACACTTGGTCGCTGCAGCGGCCCTCTGTAAAAAGACTATAAAACGATACTTTTAGACGATAGTTTTCTCGTCCAATTGCTCACGTTCGTTTACGTTTACTGACGCTTACGTTCACTAACGTTCAAACATTGCAATTGGGAATACGTCCAATTACAAAACAATGAATTGAATAGACGACACTCCAAGACGATAGTTTTCCCGTCCAATTGTTTGCAGTGATACCGTAGAGAGAAAACAAAACACCCCGAATGGTACCAGCAAAACTGGAAAATCTCTCATTCGTACTCGTAGTATTGGTGCTCAGTGGAATCGCTCGCTCGCTCAACTGAACGAAAACGGTCGTTGTTTCGTTGATTCGGTAAAATAAAAATTTTTGTTTCCATTTAGCACTGCAGTGTTGGCGGCGTGTTGGCAGAAACTTTTTGCTACGAGTGGAGGCTATGTCGCGTCGCGCACGAATTAATTATTAATCAAAAGAATTTAAGTGTGCTGGTGCAGTGTGAGTAGTATTATTTTCGGGATAAAAAATCAAATCAAATCGAGGAAATCAACAGCAGATGCATACGTGTGCACTTAATACGCACACACGGCACACACACACACGCGCGTACGCAACAGAGAGTTGTAGTTGTAGTAGTTAAAAGTGCAGCAGGCGCGGTCCATAATATACGCGTTTATATACATACATATATCAGTAATTCGGACATACGGACGTGTAAATAAACCGGGTCGCCCACAATTTAGGGGCGGTACTACGCCCTCCGCCGGAATCGGAATCGGAATCGCGGCAAACGTGTTCAATTTCCGAATCTCCCCTCGCTCTCTCACTCTATCTCTCTCTTTCTCGCGGTGCGTGCGGGTGTGTGTGTTAGTTAGTGAGCGGCCTGCCGTGTGTGTGTGTGTGTGTCTGTTTTTGTTGGTCACTTTAATTCGCCACATACACACACTCCAAAAAACAAAAATCGCGTTAATCCTGCAGCGTTTTTGTTGTTCTCTCCTTTCATCCTTACATCCTGCAGCTTCCAGAGATTTTCCCTTTGGGTAAGCGATTTCCAACAAGACTTTTCATTTGTTTTCCCCATGAACTCATGCACTTATTGGACTCTTAATCACAGTGCGTTCGTGAACTTGATTCTGATTGGAGGTCGAGCCAATTAAACCGGTTCGTGTAAATACAATCCGCGGAAGATGCATCTTCTCGTTTTTCTGGCTAAATGCAGTTTTCCTGCCTAATACCTGTTCGTTTTTTGAGTTGCAGGGGTATATTCTATATAGTACTTGCCGGTTCTGATCTTTTAAGTGTTTTCCTTATCGGCATCAACAGTTGAGTTTATAGAGCCATGATTTTTAAGATCTCGGGAATTCAAGAATTTTATGTTAGTTACCGACCCGTTAAAAGTTATTTGTTTTTGTAATATCTACGAATGAAACTGATATATGTACAATGTATATATGTCGAAACAGTATAGTAAATAATAAATATCTCCCAGTCGAGGTACTATACTTTTTGTGTCCCGGAAAAAAAGAGACGGAGACTGATTAATATCTTTTCAAATTAAGCTGTAATTAGTGGATAACTGCTAGTCGAGGTACTACCTAAACCTTGCTTTCATGTTTTTCCTTGGTTTTTCTTGCTTTTATCTCGTGGCATTGCAAATGCATTTCTTTTTATCAGCCGCACTGTGGAACCGACTGCATTAAGGTCGTCGCTTTCCACCTGCAAT